GCACCACGCTTACCCAGTGAGCAAACCAGCCATCCCTTTATGGGATCCGAACCCGTGGCCTTGGTGTTATCAGCACCGCACTCTCCCGAGTGAGCCACGGGCCGGCCCCCAAAACTAAATTCTAAAAACTGAACCTTTTGACTTAAATTAACTTTGAAGAGTTCCAAGGGCCCTGGAGCTTCTCAAAGGATATATAAAATATGTACCAAAACTAATTGGCTTATTTGACAAATTAGACTATATGGAAAGCATTGTCAGTACTGAGATGTTATGAATATGTGTTCCAAAGTCTTGTAAGGTTCTTAAAATCTGTGTCTAAATATAAATGCTACCGGTCATAATCTTGGTTCAATTATAATTTTAAAATGTTATGTCTTCAAATATTTCATGAAAAAACTCTGATAGGTACAGTTTCCTGATAAACTTTGAGTTCATACCTTTAAACTAAATTTCCAAAATTCTAATGAAGAAACCAATGGGTTTGTGGAATTGTTCACAAAGGTCAAAACAACAAAAGTTAATAAGTGAACTAATTAAAAAGAATTACAGGTTTTTACAATCTCCATATTTTGAAACACTGCTGGTTCTCTTAATGTTTTGTTTTCCAGATTTAAGAAAACTCTGTCTCTTAAGCTATCTATAACTGACAACAATTTAATAAAATATCATTTAAAAGAGAAGTAAAAAGCATTTGTTTTCTCCCTATTTGATCCCCCCAAAATTTAATAACCTTAAGTATCTTTATAATTATTATGGCAATGTGGCTATTTTTATAAGTTCAGTAAAAATTAACTCTCTCTCTTTATAACAGGATATAATTTAAAACTTTGGATATAAGATAGCATGTCTCAATTCTAAGTTCTGACCCCTCTTTCATGTTACCTTAATTTGGCCTAACTGCTGCTTTATTCTGCCGTTCATCTTTCCCCCTGACGTGGGACAAGACCACCTTGGAATGAGCCTTCCCAGCACCATGGGATTTATACAAAGAAAAGTAAGACCTTTTCAGTCAAGATATTGATCATCAATGCTTTTATGAGGAATGCCTTGATCATAAAGGGGAAAATAACATCTTCTCTACAAAAGCAGTTCTCTAAATTTTCCTGGCCTTAAAGTGGGTGTCTGTGACTTGGATGAGACATCCTGTTCCTAAACAAAAGATTTGTAATTGATTAAGGAATTTTTAAAAAGACTAGATGCTTTAGAAACAGTGATGTCCTGAATGGGTGTATATCAACAAACTCTCTGGACTCAGAATCAATTATTATATAGAGCAGAATCCCATTCGGGTGTTTTGACAATTGGTAATTACACCTAATTCACAGCACCTGGAATGATGCCAAGGCAAATGACATCACCAGTCCTCACCTGAAGTAAATTAAAAGGGCTTGCCATGCTAAATGATACTAACTTTGCTTTTAACTGTGAAAACCTGATCTATAGCTTTTTCTTTTTCTTTTAATTAAATAAACAAAATGGGGGAGATATGGAGTATATTTACATTTATAAAGCAAATATATTTCACAAGGCCTAGTTTCTTATAGTTTCCGGTTTAGCCTAACTTCTTAAAAGTACATGTAAAATGTTAACCTTACAAAAGACAGGAAATTTTCCCCAGGCTAAAAGTCTCTGTTGTAAGATAAAGAATTGTAGCACAGCAAGGTTACTGGCTCAAGGACAGACAAGTTACTGGTTTATGTGTAAAGATACTGGGAAATTGCTGTAAGAAGAGAGAATGTTTGCTAAGATCAATCTTTTGTTGGTGGATCGACTTAACCTCTTGCAAATTGCATTATGGAATGTCACCTTGTCTATTTCAATGATGTTACTAGTTTTCCATTTGTTAGCCTTAATTCTGCCGATATCCTTGTGTCTTTGTAATGGTTAAATCAAGCTGAATTCTCTTCTAAAACTTCCTTGTGTTTACAATAAAAGGGAGAGGCAAACTTTGGAAGCAGCTGCCACTTTCAGTTTTGCTCCTCCTAATGGAGAAATTACTGAAGTGCAGTCTGCCCGGGCCTCAATGCATATATAGTGCTTGAGTATTTGCATAATTCTTTTCTTCGTATCCATCACACAGGGAAAAGAGTTGTAACAGAACAGGCTAACGGTGGAAAATCATGAGTTTGGTTTTGGAAATGTTGAATTTGAGATGTTTATTAAACATCCAAGTGGGCATGATGAGAAGCTTTTATTCCCTCAATACACCATGATTTTTCCTTCAGAAATTGTTGCCTTTCCTCCAACAGATTGTTTTGTTTACATGTCTGTTGAGTCGATCCTTTTCTGTACATTCCACCAGGTGACTCTCGTGGATTATAATAGCATTGGTTCCTCTGGAGCTTTTCTCATAGGGTGGAGTCACAGTTTAAAATGCCTTTATTTTCCAGTGCAATGATTGATTTCTTCCCATTTCATTTTACAACTTCTGATGACAAACTACTCTTTGTTTTGTCAGGTATACCTAAAAATGTTTGGACTGTTAGCTATCTGATCTAATAACCCCAAACTGACCATTTTAGGTTGATGTAAACCTCCCCAGAAAACTATCTTAGTAAAGAGTGAGGTGATAAATTACATTCAATCTGAAAGAAGTTTCCATTTCATTCCTAAATAATCCCTTTGTCCCCCAAATCACAAACAATTACCATTAATTTCTAATTTAATTCTCCCCTATTTAAAAAAAAATCCCTTTCATTAATGTTTTGGTCTCTTCCAAGACACTTCCAATTTCCCTAGGCCAGTGTGACTTTACACTATGTGGTTTTTCCCTTGTACTCTTATATTTTGAAAACTGTCTTTTTTTGCCCTTCTGCAATAAACTTAGCTCGTTTAGGTAACTGTGCTGGTTTGGTTTGTTTGTTTGAGCACTTGGTACTTCTAACCATAGAAGATGCATTTCCTGGATTTCCAATTAAGTGCAGTGGAAGAATCCCTGCCCTGAAGTCAGGAGACCTACAGAGTCCCAGCTCCATCACTAACCAGGTAGGAGACTGTAGGTGAGATATTTACTATGGTTTTTGTTTCCTTCTCTGTAACATTAGATATTGGAATAAAAAATCTTTCTGCTCCTTATAATTCTAAAATTCTAAAGGAAATTTAGAATTATAAGTTATCCTATATATGTATATATTATTAATATAGATTATATACTTTGTAAATTCTGGAAAAAATTAAAAGGAGTCTAATGGCCTTCTTTGTGATACTGAGTTTTATTTTTTTTTGGGGGGGGGGGGGAGGCATAACACCGCATGCTAGCCAGCTGAGCTAACCAGCCAGCCCATGAGTTTTCAATTTTATTTTTGTAACTATTACTTTTTAAAATTTCAAAATTTCCTTGTAATTACACATATTTTTTTTATATAAATGCATAAAGTAAATCCCATTATATCTGGGTTTTTGTGTGTGCACTCTTTCCCCTTTATTTGCTTGATTTCTTCTCCCACTCTCTTCCCCTCCTCCACTTACATCATATGGGCATATACAGGTTGAATATCCCTTATCCAAAATGTTTGGGACCAGAAATGATTTGGATTTTGGATTTTTTTCGCATCTTGGAATATTTGCTAATGTCCTTACTGGTTGAGTAGCCCAAATCCGAAAATCCAAAATGCTCCACTGAGCATTTCCTTTGAGTGTCATGTTGGTGCTCAAAAAGTTTTGATTTTGGTGTATTTCTTTTTTTTTCTTTTTTTTTTTTTTTTAAAGATGACCGGTAAGGGGATCTCAACCCTTGGCTTGGTGTTGTCAGCACCACGCTCAGCCAGTGAGCAAACCGGCCATCCCTATATAGGATCCGAACCCGTGGCCTTGGTGTTATCAGCACCGCACTCTACCGAGTGAGCCACGGGCCGGCCTTAATTTTGGTGTATTTCTGACTTGGGGTGCTCAGCCTGTATATGTATGGTTAAGATATATGTATATGTAATTTTAAAAACTGAAGGGAAAAAAGATCTAAACCTTGGTAGAAAACGGGTGAAACACTAGTATTTGCACAATTCATCTTCTTCTGTTTACTTTCTTATTTTCTACCTGTTGAATCTTCTGTTCTATTTTCTGGGAGATTTCTTTTTACTAAATCCTACTATGAGACTTTAAAAATGTTAACAATCACATTTTTAAAACTTCCTAGAACTTTTATTTGCAGATGCTTCCTTTCTTCCTAAAATTATGTTTTTGTTTTATAATAATGTTGTCTTCTCCATTATTTTTCTTAACATTAGTATTTTTAAATTTAGTTTTTATTCCCTGAATTATGCTTTTTCCCCTCTTATCTTGGTCTTCCTCTTTCGTGTAAGTTATTCTTCAAATGTTTGATAATCGTTGCCTATCTATTCGTATTTAAGAATGGAGCAACAGACAATTAGGGTCTTTGTGTCACTGGCCACATAATTCTTTTCTTGCTGAGTATCTTTGGAGATAGTGTCCCAGAGAAAATCATTTGTGAAACACTGTTTTATAGAGTTTACTGATCGTCTACTTTTGTTGTACCTCAGAACTTCAAGTAAGGCATCTTTTACACCAAACGTGGACCCTTCGAAAATTAGGGATTCTTTTATGGAGTACAACTCTGTCCCCAGAGTACACACGTTTGGTGCTCACACAGCCTTCTCCTAATGTAAAACAGGGTAGCCCTCACTTTCCTGGACTTCTACTTGTATTATTATGAACAGTTGCTTGAAATATTCAACTGCTGTTGCCTGATTAAGCTGCTTAGCTTCAATATTGTGTCATAACTCAGCTTGTAGTCATCTGCTTGAATATTCACTCTTGGGAATCTCACCCAGTCTCTCAGCTTCAGGTAGCATCTCTGTTCTGGAACTCCCAAATCAAGATTTCCTGCCCCATCCTCTTATCACGCCTCTTAGCACTTCAGTTTTGTTTCTTCAACTCAGATTACTCAAATTTTGCTGAAATTATCAGCGTTTCTTTAGGGAAAACTATGCATAATCACTAAAGAACCTGTTAAAAAATTTCAGCATTCACATAATCAGACAAACTAAGATTCAGAAAATTCATTTTATTGCTATCATTTCCAAAATAAATCAACCAAAACCAAATCCAAGAGGCTATTAGGCCTGCAACAAAGTTCACCAGATTTAACTCACACTTTATGATCATACTCTGAAAAGAAAAAAAAAAGTGGAATTGCCATTTAATAGCCACGCTTTCAGCTTTGAGAATGGAAGTGGAGGAATTTCCTTGTCAATTTAAGCTGAGATTTTAGAGCTGGGTTAGTATTTCAGCAAAAATTACCACCCAAGAGGTAGGAAGAACAAGTATTTCTTTTATTCAATGACAGGAAATATAATTGATGATGTTTCAAAAGAGAAAATTGTTTGTGGTTTCTCATATTCCTAACTTGTACTATATTCTCGCTCAAAGAAGGACCCCTGTTCCTAAAATCTGTCTACCAGGGACTCTGGCTACTGCTGCTGTGGATTCCCAGGCAGCATCAACTCTGCTCCCTGCTTTGGGTGTCCCACTCTGCCTCAACTCCAGTCAGCCTCTATCATTGCAAACAGTTGGCTAAGCCTCTTCTTCACATCAGGCTCATTTGGAGCATGGTAGGATTTTGTGTGCACTCTGATGTGTTCAGCAAGTTTAGACTTATAAATGAAGCCCTTCCCACAGTCACCACAGGCAAAGGGCCTCTCAGGCCTGTGTATGCGCTGATGCCTAAGCATGTGTCCCCTTTCCCGGAAGTTTTTATCACATTCAGGGCAGTGGAAAGGTCTCTCCCCTGTGTGCAGACCTTGGTGGCTGAGCAGCTGTGCCTTCAAGCGGAAACTCTTGTCACATTTGGGACACTGAAAAGGCTTCTCTCCTGTGTGCGTCCTGATGTGTTCGATGAGTTTAGACTGCTTAGCAAAGCCCTTACCACACTCACAAGAGAAAGGCATCTCCCCACTGTGCAGCAGCTGGTGAGCTTTCATGTCAGCCTTCACGCGATAGCTCTTGTTGCACTCAGGGCACTGGAACGGTCTCTCTCCTGTGTGCAGGCGCTGGTGGCTCAGCAGCTGCCCCTTCAAGCGGAAACTCCTGTCGCACTCTGTGCACTGGAAGGGCCTCTCCCCGCTGTGCACGCGGAAGTGTTCCGTGAGCTTGGACTGTCTGGTGAAGCCCTTGCCACACTCCCCACATGAGAACGGCCTCTCCTTACTGTGGGTGCGCTGGTGGGCCTTCAGGATGCCCTTCAGGCGGAAGCTCTTGTCACACTCTGGGCACTGGAAGGGCCTCTCCCCGCTGTGCACTCTCAGGTGCTCACGGAGCTTACACTGGTGGGAAAAGCCTCTGCCACACTCAGTGCAGGAGAATGGTCTCTCCCCGCTGTGTCGGAGCTGGTGGGCTCTCAACATGCTCTTCAGGCGGAAGCTGCCCTCACACTCCGGGCATTGAAAGGGCTTCTCGTCTGTGTGCAGCCGCTGGTGCCTCAGCAGCTGTCCCCTCTGGCGGAAGTTCCTGCCACACTCGGCACACCAGAAGGGCTTCTCCCCGCTGTGGACTCGGATGTGCTCTGTGAGTTTACACTGTTTGCTGAAGCCCCTGCCACACTTCCTGCAGGAGAACAGTCTCTCTCCACTGTGTGCATGCTGGTGGACTTTCAGAAGGCCACTCACTGGGAGAAAACTCTTGTCACATTTGGGGTGCTGGGAAGGCTTCTCCCCCTTGTGCATGAGGTGGTGGCTGAGAAGAGTCTGCTCATGATGGAAGCACATCTTACATTCAGGGCACTGGAAAGGGCTCTTCCCTATATGGGCAGCCAGATGTCTCAGCAAATACTGCTTCAGGCGGAAGCTCTTACCGCACTGGTGACATCGCAAGTGTCTCTGTGCCCAAGTGATATTCCACTGTAGCTGGGCATCAGCTCGTTTGTTGAATTTCTTCCAGACCCTACATGGAGGGTCCTTCAAGTGGTTCCTCTCGTGCTCCACTAAGTAGTTCTTCTTCCAAAAGCTTTCCCTGCAGACAGGGCAAGGGTGCTGGGTGCTCTCCCAGGAGGGGACTTCCTGAAAGCCAGGGAGACCCAGAGTTCTGTGACTTGGGATTCCTTCTCTTTGGGCAGATTCGCAGCAGCTGTGAACTACTGGAGTTAGAGCCCGTGTGTCATGTCTCTGTGGGCTCATGAGGGTGACACCTTGATTAGGCCTGAGGGAAATGTCTTCTTTTTCTCCTAAAAAGGGTCCAAAGGAATACTGGCTATGAAGAGGATCTAATTGGAAATGGCACTCAGTTTCTCCTGAATTCACAGCATGCTGGCTTCCTGAAACTGAAAACAAAGATTCAGTCAATAACCTGTCTATGGCATGACTAAAGATTGTCACCACTAAAGTGATCTGTAACAGTGACCTGTGGTGGCCTGAGAACCTGGCTTCCACTGAGCTACACAACAATACAGTGTGGTTCCATTTTATCACCAAAATGGTTTGGTGACAGTCTGCTGAAACTAAACAGACACATCTTAAAATACTATTAAAAAGAGGAAAATATAGGTCACAAATGTAGGGTCTAAACTCTGGAATCAGACTGCCTGGGTTCGAATCCACTTGTCCACTGTGCAACCTTTGTTTTTGCTTCAACTCCTTCTCCTGTAAAAACAGGGAAACAATAGAACGTAAGATGGTTGTAAGACCTGAGGGAGTTGACGTGCAGGAGGTGCTCAGCATGGTGCCCTGCACACTGCACGTTACTCTAAGTGTTGACCACTATTATGACTTCAGGAACATCAGACTTGAATGGAGTCATGAGGTGATGATGGCAGTGAGTTCCTAACAGAGCCCTGACTAATACCATATTTATATGCAGTCCTGAGCTGTCAAGACATCAAGCCTCAGCTCAGCCACACAGGAAGATCAGCAATGGGAAACTAACAAATCTGCATGAGATGTCTTAAGGTCAAGGCCCTGATTTCTTAATACTCACCCCAAAACAGTTGTTGCTCAATAAGTGGATCAAAATGGACATCAGTAGAGGAGCAAATTATATTTCCCGACTTCTGTGATTCTCCCCAATTCCTGAAGGGCTCTCTCCCCTGTTCAATCCAGGATATTAGTTTTGGTTTGGGAAGTCCATCACCTGCACAGAGAAGTCAAACAGGGTAGTTTGGCTTCCTTGAGCACTGAATTTAAAGCTCACTATGTTGTTTCTAAATTTCACAAAATTCAGTCCTGGGACAGTGTATGAGAAGAGATAAAAAATAGGTTATAGGTTTATATGAGGAGCAGATCTGCCCACTCGCCATCACAGCTTCCTAACCCATCTGCACCTGTTAGATGTGTGTTGGTTTAATTTTGTCATGGTCTCATACATATGCCAAACCTGTATTTTGTCCAGAAACAAAATGGCAAATGCTTCAATATTCTTAATAGTCATTTAGTAATAGCCATTACAGGTTCAATTTTAAACCAAGTTGGCTGAAGCAAAAATCTAGCCAAAAAGGATTTTTAGAAACAATATTTTAATTTTTATTAAAGATATTTCTAGCACACAGAAAAGTAGGTGAAAAATATAAAAAAACCTAGGTGCCATCTAACTTGGTCAAATTTTACCAGGTTTACATACTTGCTTCAGGTTTTTAAAAAGATATGAAACATTATAGTTTAAGCCCATGTACATTCTTCTCCAGAATTAAGCACTATGCTGAATTCTGTGTTTATCATTCTCACGCATGTTTTTATTTTTTAAGTACATGTGAGGGTACTTCAAAAAGTTCATGGAAAGATTTATATTGTGGAGAGCACTAAAATTAATAAGCCAAATGTATTTTACAGGGCCTAGCCTCCAAAGCCCTGTACTTTCAGGTTTAACCTAACTTTTTGAAATTACACATAGAAATGTTAAGCTTGCAAAAGACAGGAAAATTTCTCCAGGCTGAAGTCTCTGTCGTAGATGAAGAATTGTAACATTTCGGAATTGCTGGCTCAAGGACAGATGTCCTTGGTGCAGGTAAACCAAGGATTGGTATGTAAGCTGATTGATATGTTAAGAAAGTTACTTGATTGTTGTGTAAATATGCTAAGGAAATTGCTGGGGGGAGGGGAAAGTGTTTGCTAGGAGTGGGCTTTTGTTGGTAGACCAATTTAACTTTTTACTAATTGCATTATGGAATGTCACTTTGTTATTTCACTGATGTTACCAGCTTCTATAGTTAAACTATACTTAGCCGTAACTCCACCTATGTTCCTTTTCTGTAACTTTCTGGCCTGGAGAATAAATACTGAGAAAAAAACCCAATTCGGTGTTAACTTTCCCAAGGAGGAATGCCTCTCTCTTGAGGGTTCCTGGAAATTAACCCCTTCGGGGCTTCTCACTGCTCAGAGGAAATGGGCTTTGAGTAATCCTTTGCATCTCCATCACCCAGGGGAAGAGAGGTGACACATACTATCTTGTACTTCTATTTCTGTTCATTTTCTTTAAATTATGTTTTTCCACAAACTTTTTGAAGTACCCTTGTACATATATATAAATATTATATTGCTGGTTTTAAACTTTGTATAAACCATACCATATCATTCTGCACCTTGCTTTTTTCACCTCAAATTATGTTTTCAAAATGTCTCTATTTTGAAACTACTAACTCGGGATCACTTATTCGATAGTATTTGCTTAAGTGAATACAAGATAGTCTGTCTTCTCTGTTCACTAGCATGCCCCTATGAGCACACACACAGGCATGGACATTCCTCGAAGTGAATTGCTGTATCACAGGGTAAGCATGTCTTCATCTTTACCCAATGTTACCCAATTTCTCTCCAAAGTGGCTGTGTTGATTTACAGGCTCATTAGCAGAGTAGGGGTGTTCACATTGCTTCACATCTTGACAACTCGTGGTGCTATCAGGTGTATTTCTAGCTCTAACATAGTACTACATAGTAAGTCTTGCTATCTGTAGGACAATCACCTTCCGCCTTCTTCCAAAAAACCGTCTTGGTTGATCTTGGACCTTTTTTCTTCCATGGTCTTTATAATCAGCTTATCAAATTCCATGAAAAACCTTATTGGGATTTTCATTGGAATTGCTTTGAATGTACACATTGATTTGGGAAAACTGACAGAGGCAAAAAGCTCCATTAACCAACTGTGATGAAGAGAATGGATAATCACAGGGATGTGATGAAAGCATGAATAAAGAAAGTAATTAACCCCCTCCCCCCAAAAAATCCAAATCTAAAAAAGTCATGGCTTAATAGTGAAACAAATAAAATGATTTTGAACAACAGATAAGTACGAAAAAAAGAGAATCCATTTGATCTTGATGCTTGAGACATTCTCTTTTGGGTGGCACAGGATTAATGACATAGAATTAAATTTTTTTTCTATAGACTGCTTTGGTTCTTCAACAATGAAAATAATGTGAAGTCTCAGATTGCATGTTTTAGAAACAATCCATAGGTAGAGCCTGGAAAACTTAACTATGGGAACAAAACACAATATAAGTATTAAAAACACTTACAATATAAAGGAAGTGGCATGGCTGTCATGAACTGGAGGGAATGAGATGGAGACAGAGGGAAGTACAGACAGTCCCTGGCTTACGGTGGTTTGACTTACTATTTTCAGACTTCACAATGTTGTGAAAGTGATACGTATTCAGTAGAAACTGTACTTTGAGTACCCATCGAACCATTCTGTTTTTCAGTTTCAGTACAATATTCAATAAATTACACAAGATAGTCAACACTTTATTATAAAATAGACTTTGTGTTAGATGATTTTTCCCAACTTCGGCTAATGCATGTTTTCTGAGCACATTCAAGGTTAGCCAGGCCAAGCTATAGTGTTGGGTAGGTTGGGTATATTAAATGCATTTTCTACTTATATTTTCAACTTATGATGGGTTTACTTGCAGAAGTATCTGCAAGAGAACTAATTAACTTATCTTTATAGACTGAAGAAATCAAGAGATGTAATATAAAGTTGATGGAACATGATCTAGAAGTTTTGATATATTATTTTAAATTATAAAGCTAACCAATGGAGGCACAAAAAACTATCAAAAACTGGGTTACAAAAGGGGTAAAAGGAGATAGAAGAGGGAGAGCATAAGTGAGTAATGCCTCAATTTTCACAGTAATTAATTAACACCGTCTAAACTCAATAAATCAAGAAGAGTGTAAATATTTAGATTGGAGAAAACCACTTTAAGAACGAAAACAGAAATGGTTAAAAGTGGCTGCCTTTGGGCAGATAAGTCACTGTGGGAATAAAAACGAAGCAGGAGACTTATCTTTCATTTTATGCTTCTCTGAACAGACTGATTTTTTAAGACCATATTTGACAAATAAAAAGAAATAGAAAAACCAAATAAGCAAAAAGACCAAAAAGAACACCATTACCATAACCACACAGAGACTGCTACTCTTAAACACCTCAGTGGATAGACTTCCAAAATCTCTGCAGGGAAGAATCACATGAGCTTTTCTTGAGTGTTCAGACCCTACTGTGAAAGCTGTGAGGTAGGGACATCCCTCGGTTAATGATATACAGGATATGAGCTAGATGTACTCGTATGTGTAAAGTCGTAGCAACCTGAAGTGACTAAAGGAGTGACTAAAAGCCCTGACTTATATTTAGTCACCTGTGACCACCTTATGTGATGTCTCAAATATTTTCATGTAACAATGTCTACCCTTGAGTAAGGATTGCAATGCTTGCAGAAGTACTAACAAAAGAATATGGGGTAAAAGTGCCTTTCTGAGTTAGCTTCTGAGAAATCTTCTACCTGACAAACAGGAGCATCAAATGACAGAGACCTTTGACAGGATCCAGTTCCACGACTTACCCCCAAAGTTGAAAACTTCTTACCTAGAGAGACAAGCGTCTCGTAATTGGCTCTCATTACGTGCTTGTACAGCTCCTTCTGCCATGCCTCTAGATTCTGCCATTCCTGCTCCGAGAAATAAATGGCAACATCCTCAAAAGTCAGAGGTAACTGAAATTATAGACATAATACATACAAGTCACAATTGCGCCCAAATGACTCCAGCTCCTTCTCATCGTTCATTTAAAGAGTTCTGTAGCAGACAACTGTTTTCGTTTGTTTAGCAGCTTTTTCCTTGGGAACGACTCCTTCCCCTACTCCAATCACATGCTTCTGCTGTTAACCACTACAACCCCGTCCATGTGTTTCTTTATGCTTGTTCAAATTATATTACATATGTACAGTATGGAACTTTAATTCTTTACAAAAATGGGGACAAATCACCGTGTAATTTCATTCACTTAATATGTCATGGACATCTTTCCAGGTTGATATAGTATATAGGCAAACTCATTTTTCAGTGAGTTGCATTATATTCTGTGAGTAGATATACCCCACTGATAGGACAGATATTGTTTCCATTTCCTTCATAAATCACACAAAAAAATGCTCTGATATGCTTCCTTATGTATTAGTGTTTTTACTTCTATAGGCTAAGGTCTAAAAAGGAGAACTACTTAATCAAAGGGTATAAACAATTTCAGATTTAAGACACCACTAGATTACCTTCCAAAAAGAATTCAGCACTTTTACCCTTGCTATTAAGATGACCCTTCTCATTTTCTTTACACCTTTGCCAGCACAGGATGTTCTTAAACCTTATTCTTGCCATCATAATGAGTGGCAAAAGCGTATTCTCGTTTTAATTTGCATCAATTTGTGAGTCTTAGCACCCCTTTCATACTTCTTGGCTTAATGAATATTTTTGTGAATGCTATTCAAATCCTTTGCTCACAGAGTAATTACCATTTGTAATGATGAACATGCTAATAATATTGATTTGATCATCATGTACTGTACAAAATAATGAGGGTCAACTCTGTACTCCATAAATATGTATAATCAAAAATAAATAATTTTTTTAGAAAAAACAAAAAGCAAACCCAATTCCTTTGCTCAGAGGGCTCATAATTTGAATGAACTTTCTTCCATTAAGGTTAATAACCCTTTGACTGGCAAATGTTTTCTCCTAGTTTATCATTTATCTTTTGACCTTGTCGATGGCCAAATAAAAAATTCTGAAACTTTTAGTTAAATGTCATTCTCTTCCATATAGTTTCCAGCTTTTTCTTTCATTTTGAGCACTTCCCACATCAAAATTCCACAAATATTCTACCAAATTATTTTTTAATATATTTAGATTTGCAATTTAATCCTACAGATGAGATTGGGATCTTTATTTGTATACATATGGATAGCCAATCCTGCAGCACTATTAAATACAGCATTCTCGCTCCTTACGTTAAAATGCTAATGTTCAACCTTTGCACATTAGTTTACATACTGTATACTGTTCTGAACTCTCTATTCCGTTGCACTATCTATGCATATCTGAGTACAGTACTTATGTAACATTGTAATACCCAGAGGGCAAGTCTCCTCCCATCCTCTGCCTCATTCTCTTCCAAGCTACTGTTGTCAATTCCTGGGATATTTATTCTTTTTTATAAGCTTCAAAGTCATTTTCCCCAGGAAAAAAAGAGAAGTGCATTGGGATTGGGTTTAAACCACATTACACGTGTATAAATGTATTTAGGAAGGACTGACTGATCTCACCTAGGAACACAGTCTACCCCCCCTTTTATTTAGTTTGTGTTTGCTATCCTTTAATAGACTTAATGATACTCTTCATAAATGTTCTGAATTGTTTTTATTTGTGGTTTTTCTAACATCTCTGCCACCTTCAGTCTTTATTACTAGTATTTATTTTTAAGTTGTTGATTTTTGTAAACTTGTTTGTATCCAATGTACCATATTTACCAATCCTAATAGTATTAAGTTTTTGTTGGAATACAATCAAATAATTTTCAAATAAGGATAATTCTGCCACCTTTTCTCAAGGTGTACTACTTTTTTCTTATATAATTACATTTGTTAGAAACTCTTTTGTGGCTTTAGAGTTTAGAATGTCCTGATTTGGAAGACTTTTCCTGTTCTAAGATTATATAAAACATTTTCCTGGATTCTTCATAACATTTTTATAGCTTTGTTTATTAGAACGAAGTTTCCATTAGGAACTGTGGAGCCAGGGCTACTGTCTGGAATCCTGCTCACAGCGCCAATTGTGAAGCTCTTTAATCCGGTTCCTGAACCAATTGTAAAGCTAGGCGACCATGCTAGTGGTCGGGCTCTTTTACCTGCCCATAATCCTGCACCGACTAGGCCAACTGCCGATCTAGGGCTGGGTCTGGAGCTCACAGACCCCTCAAGCCCATTCACAGACTGGGTCACAAACCCTTCACATGCCAGACTGGGTCACCAGACCCCTTACATGCAGGTTTACAAGCTAGGTAACCGGCCAAAAGGTCCTTGGAGCCATAGGTTGGAAAGCATGGCTGTGCTGGGTGGACGCCCAAGGCCAACGCCCAGCTGCCTGCTACACTAAACTCACTCTCTCTCTCTCTCTCCCTCTCTCTCCCTCTCTCTCTCTCTCCCAAGAACACAAGAATAGCAACAAAACCAAGAAGATACATTGGCACACATGTGCACTAACTACACACACACACACACAATTTGCTTACAAAGGATGCTGAACCACACCCAACTGGACCTGAGGCGAGGGCCCTGACCAAACTATTCTATTTTCCCAATAGGAACTTATTTCTGAGTATCATAAAAAAAAAAAAGGGACATAAATCTTTTTACAAATGGATATTTGTCATAATGCACTTATTGAATAGTCTTCTTTCTTTTACCACTGTTTTGGGTTGTACTTCCCACCCCAGATTCCAATTTATATTTGGGTATATTTTTGTCCCATTGATGAATTTGTCTATTCCTGTCCCAATACTACACTGTTTAATTCTTACAGTTTTATCAAGTGGTTTTCTATATGAGAGGGCATGGCCATCCACCCACCTCCATCATTTTGTGCTGGAAATTGTCTGGACTTTTTTGTCTATTTTCTCTCCTACATAAACAGGATAATTATTTTGTCAAATCTAACACAAATTCTGTTGGGATTCCAACTGGACTACATTGAATACACTGATTAATTTTAGAAGAACTGGATCTCTAAAATATGACATCTTCCCACCCAGAAACATGATGTATCTTTCATTTATTTAGATATTTTTATGTGTTTTAGTAAAATTTATAGGGTTTTTTTTTTTCATATAGACCTTATATAATTCTTGATTGGTTCATTCCCAGGTGTTTTAGAATTTAGTTGCTACTATGCCTGAGGGACTATTTTTCCCATTAAAATTTCCAACTATAAAAGCTTGGAAAGCTGGCTTTTATATGTTTATTTTATAAATGACTTCCCTTGCTGGCTATCCCTTTCTGTTGACTACTGATTATTGCTTTCTGTTGATTGTTGTTATCTGCAAATGTAGCATTTGGCTAATGTCAGAATCCTGCCGACTTAGCCAATGGTGGTGCTCCGGATCAAGGAAATGTCGGAATCCTGCTCACAGTGCCAATTGTCCAGCTCTTAATCCTGGTCGTGATGCCAATTGTAAAGCCACAGGACCATGCCAGTTGTTGGGCTCTTTTACGGGCCAGTAATCCTGCCCTGACTGGGCCAACTGTTGAGCTAGGGCTGAGTCTGGAGCTCACAGACCCCTCAAGCCCATTTACAGACTGGGTCACAAACCCTTCACATGCCAGGCTGGGTCCCCAGACCCCTCGCACACCAGGCAGGGTCCCCAGACCCCTCACACGCCAGGCTGGGTCCCCAGACCCCTCACACACCAGCCTGGGTCACCAGACCCCTTGCATGCAGGTCTATAAGCTAGGTAACCCTCAAACAGATCCTTGGAAGCTGTAGGTTGGAAAGCATGGCTGCACACGTGGAGCAGCTGCCTGAGGCAGTAGTCAGCCTGCCTGCTTCACAAACTCTGAACAACACAAGAATAGCAACAAAACTAAAAAGATACATTGGTGCACATGTGCACTAACTACACACACACACACACACAGATTTGCTTACAAAGGATGTGCTGAACCACACCCAACCGGACCCAAGGCAAGGGTACTGACCAAACCATTCTATTTTCCCTATAGCAAATAACACTTGTTTTAACTACTTTATCATTTCCTATCTTTCTTAGGTTATTACAATTGTCTGAAATAATGTTGAATAGTGATGGTAGCATTTATCTGTCTTATTCTTTACCTTAATGGAAATGCTTGTAATGGTTTACCTTTGAAAGTAATGTTTGTTGGTTTCCTTTAACTGATTAACCAAGATTCCTCTTATTCCCAGAATAGTAAGAGTTGGCTTTGAATTTCATTGCTTTTTTAAAAACTGCATTATAAAAAATATAATACAGGCAAATGTGTTAAAATTGCTTAATATTTCATTTATTATGGTTGACTTGCATAAATTGACATTTGAACCTCAGTTCATAACTAGAAGTATGTAATTTATATATTTATTATTAGAGTTTAAAATACTCTAATTACATAAGTATACATCCTACCTTTCATAGAATTGTTTTCTTTAAAGTCAGTTTAACTCCAATTGTTATTGCCATATGTGCTTATTTTCTATGGGTATTAAAGCACAAGGATGCTTCAAAAAGTTCATAGAAAGATTGTACTACCTTTTAATTCTATTTTACCACAAACTTTTTGAAGTACCTGAATATATCTTGTTTCAAGTTGTATTTTTAATTTGCATTTATCTTTTCTGTTGAGTTTTTATAACTGATTCCTTTACATTTGAATCAGAAATTCATTATTTTAAGTTTAATGAAATATAGTCCTTTCTGTGATGACACTTGTTTTGAAACACAAATTTCTTCCAACATAATATATTAGGGAACAATATATTACAAAATTTCACATTTACTTTTGGGCAATTTTGTCTGTGAGAAACACTGGGACAGTTATTCTCAATCAAGGCAATTTTGTCCCCCAGGGGCCATCTGGCAATGCCTGGAGACATTTTTGATTGTCATAAATGGGGGGGGAGGGGCGGCTACTGGTATCTAGCGGGTAGTGGCCAATGATGCTGATAAACATTCTACAATACAGACAGCCCTACGACAGAAAATTATCCAGTTCAAAATGTCAATAGTGACAAGGGTGAGAAATCTCATGCCAGGTGAACAAGAGAACTGAACTGTGCACACATGCACACTCTTCAAATATCTACCAGCTACCTCAGACTACCCTGTGTTAGGAGCCCTTCCTAGCCACATCTTGTGTCACAACTTCCCATTTGATTTGAGATAACCCTCCTTTCACCACTTCACAATAATTCACAAACTCCACCCTCATTACACCCACTTCCACAAGCAAATTTCTGGTAATTTAAAAGTAATTAAGTTTATTTATTTCTTAATTATTTAACATGCATAAACCTGTTGTTTTTATTAGGTTCCAGTCTTTTCAACACGTCACTGATGAAGTTTTGGAGTGTTGTGTGCCTAACATTTCTTCTTTTAAGCTCTGTGATTTTTATTGCACAATTTCACACAGCACCATGATTTTTCTTTTCTTTTTTTTTTTTTCCTGCAAATATTTTATTTATGCCTAAGTTTCTTTTTATGAAGAGTTATTTTATTTTTATTTTTATTTTGTCAATATACAATGTAGTTGATTATTATGTCCCATCACCGAAACCTCCCTCCCTCCTCCCTCTCCCCCCTCCCACCCAAGCACCATGATTTTTCGAAACACATATGATGTATTATAGCCGAACAGAATGTATGAGAGTACTTCAAAAAGTTCCTGGAAAATGGAACTAAAAGATAATACAAGTCCTTCCATGAACTTTCTGAACTACCTTATGTTTTTATTTCCACATTCTCTTCTTCTGATTAAATTGCTTACTTTTAAAATGTTTTTTTAATGCTCAAAAAGCATTGTTTTGTTACTTTTTAATTTTCAGAAGTTTAAAAGATCCAGAAAATTACAGAAAACATTATAGCAAGCATTCTAATATTCACCACTGATTTAACACATTTAACATTTTTCCTCAGAGTTCCTTTTAGTGAAATAAACAAAATATGACATGTAACTCCGTTCCCTTCGTTCCTCTCTTCAGTCTTGTTCTTATACTTAGTTCCACTCTCCTCCCTTCATAGAAGCAAACACTACGAATGTGGTAACTTTTCAGTTCATGTTCTAAATTTCTTAATACACATATGTACCCACAAATAATATATAATACTGTTTTGTGTCTTTTATAAATAAGTGCTTTATTGCACTGCAACTTGCATTTTTCACTCAACATTTTGAGATCTGTCCATATGGATATATAGAGAACTATTTAATTTTGTACAGTGTTCCATTGTCTGAATATATCATTTTAAAAACCTACTCTTTTATCCATTGACCATTTCTTTTCAGTTCTGTGAATTGCCTGTTTATATCCTTTGCCCATATTTTTATTGGGTCACATATCCTTTCATTTCTACTACTTCTTTATATAATTTCTATATTGATTTTTGACTATACAGGTTATACTTTCTTCTAGTCCATGGCTTACGTTTTAATTTTCTTTGTGCTGTCTTATATTGTGCAGAAGCTTTCAGTTTTGATGCAAATGTATCAATCTTTTCTTAGTTTTCTCTACTTTTGTGTCTTGTTAAAGAAATTCTTTTCTGGGCCGGCCCGGTGGCACACTGCTACAGTGCGCCGCTTGCGAGATCTTAGTTTTCTCTACTTTTGTGTCTTGTTAAAGAAATTCTTTTCTGGGCCGGCCCGGTGGCGCACTGCTACAGTGCGCCGCTTGCGAGAGCAGCGGCGCTCCCGCCTAGGGTTCGGATCCCACATACAGACCATTTCCCGCTCACTGGCTGAGCGAGGTATGGGAGCAACACCGAGGGTTGCAATCCCATTGCCGGTCCCGGTCCGGTATTTTCTTCGAAAAGGCTTGTCAAACTTTGCTGTTGATGTTCAGATTTTCATCTTGAATGTAATTTTTTTATGGCATAAAGTAGTGATCTAACTATTCTTTTCCAAATGGAATACTCGATTGTCCCAATACCACTTTGAAGGTTTGTGTATTAGTCCTATAGCTGCCCTAAGTAAGTATCGCAAACTGGGTGGCTTAAAACAACAAATTTATTCTCTCAGTTCTCGTGGCTAGAAGTCTGAAGTCAAGGTGTCAGCAGAGCTATCCTTTCCTGGAAGACTCTAAGGGAGAATCTGTTCCATGCCTCCCTTTTAGCTTCTGGTGGTAGCTGTCCATTCTTGGTGTTCCTTGGCTTGCAGGTACATAATCCAATCTCTGCCTCCACCATCACGAAGTTGTGTCTGTGTCTCTTCTCTTCTTATATGGATACCAGTCATATTGGATTAAGGACAAACCCTACTCCAGTATGACCTCATTTTAATCAGTTATATCCACAACATCCCAATCTCCAAAAAGGGTCACAATTTGAGGTTCCAGGAAAGACCTGAATTTGAGGGGGATGCTATTCAACTCAGCACATAATCTGCTTCTGGGTTATCTGCTCTGTTTCCACTGCTCTATGTGTTTATCCCTGCACAAAACAACGCTCTTAGTTCGGTAAGTTCATAGTGTTTTCTGGTAGGGAAATTCTCTTGTTCTTTTTTCAGATTCGTATTCTTTGACCTCTATTTTTCCAAATAAACTTTAGAATCTGTGTGTTTAAATTTACAAAAGTCTTATTACCTTTGGTAAAACTGCAATGAATTTATATACTATTTGAAAGAAGAGTAACATTTTTACTACGTTTAGTCTTTCCATCTATGGGCATAGTATATCTCCTGTGTATTTAAATCTTCTCTATGCAGGTGCTGTACATTTACTGTATATAATGCTTTTGTATGTTTCACCTCAGGAAATTGAGAGCGCACACGTATTTTAAAATCAATGATGTCATGAATTCGTTTAAAAATCAGCAAAAATCCTCAATAGAAAAGCTTATAAAACAAAGAAAAGTATAATAAAAATAACCCACTCCCTCTAAACTCAATTTCAACAGAACGCTAATCAAGTAATGTGTACCCTATTTGGGGTTTTACATCCGCTTCTACTCCTCCCAACAGATCGTTCTTCCTTCCTACTCTCAACATAAACAATCACGTTGGCGGCTAAAACAGGCCCCGCCACACACCGTTTCAACCGCTCAGAACACTGTATCTTTAAAAACGTCTGTCCTGAACTCAATGACTGGCGCGGTGTAAGACTGGCTGAGCTGTGACAGCCACCCCCGGCCCCAGCCCCACCTCTGTCCTCCCCACCGCCCGCCCCGCCACGCGCGGGCCCCCTCGCCCAGGCTCGGCTGCAATCCTGGGTCGGCCCCGGTGTCCACTCGGCTTGGCTCAGGGGTTTGGCCACCAACGAGCCCCTGGAGCTGCGGCCACCGGCTCCCTGCAGGGCCCGGACTCCACACCCCAGATCTAAGCGACCCCCGTGCACACTCCGACCTGTCCGCCGACGAGGACCCCAGGACGCGGGCCAGCTCGGTGCCCGAGGATGCGCCCGAGCCCGAAACCGGGCGTCCGCGCGGGGACCCTCTTACCGGAGCCGGCGTGGCCATCGCG